GGATTTGGGAAGGATTTCCGGGAAATGACGCAAACGGTGCCGATTTCAGCTGAATTCGCGGTATGGTTTGAGGATCCGACGGGTATAAGGTTTGTACGTGGGATTTTTGGCTTCTTCTCTCTTTTGCTCTTTCGGGTTTCATCCGGAGGTCAACATTAAGATGTGGCATATTTTATATCAAAATGTGAAGTTTTTTAGTTAGTAAAGACAGAGCATTAGCAATCGAGAGATCTTTTGCATCCATTACCCATCGCAGAATAAAAATGGGAAGAGGTTACTGAATTTTGCTATAGGTTTTCCCAAATCGAAACCAAGACAAGAGGTTATGTGGGTCATGCTTGATCGTTTGACAAAATTAGCTCATTTCATTTCGATCCGACAGTTCGATTCTGTAGATAGATTGGCACATGTATATATGTGATTATCAGATTGCATGGGATATCGAAGATTATAATTTCAAACACGGATGACATGTTTACCTTTCAGGCTATGAAGTGGTATTCAGCAAGGACTGGAAACAAAATTATACTTCAGTACAATTGTTCATTCGGAAGAATATGAATGAAAGAATATGAATGCACTTCAGTAGTTAAGTAAACAATTTCCTATAATTAGAGTTCAGTGGAAGAATATGAATGAAAGAGATGCTACTTGGAAAAAAAAGTGTCTGAGATGAGACAGTTGTATTTAGATCTATTTAGGTAATATGTGGCCTGAGTGTTGCAATGTCAAGGATGACATTTTTCTGAGGCGGGTTGAGTTGTGACCCCAGTAGGTTCAGCATATTGTTTTGCCTGTTCTTACTCAATTTGAAAAAAGCCGGCAACTGTAGAAGAGAAAAAGAGAGAACCTTAGATAGGTAAAAGAGGATTTTTGAGCTACTTCCGACTTTTCTTAGCCGTTAGGCTAGTTGAGAAAGTTATCCTGATCAAAATAATTCACATTATGCCCATCTCAATTTTAAAAAATATGCAATTTTTATCAAATTTTCGATTATAATTTTATTTCCGTTAGCGAAAACATAGATAACTATGCACTGGTAAAACTTACGTCGCATAACTTTTTATATGTTATAGAGATTGAGATTATGAACGTTTTGGAAGTGAATATGAAACATTTCAAAATTAGATTTTAGGATTTTCCTGTCACAACTAAACACGATAGAACTTATCCATATCGGGTTGGGTTATGACACAATCTCTATTAGTTCCCTTGATATTGTGATGGGGCTATTGTAGCCCTAGCTTTCATTTTGAACTCTTAATCTTGCTAATTTCTTGCTTAATGTTTTGCTTCAGGTAGTCCTTTGAAGCACTTTAATCTTGGTCTTGATCTCTAGGGATCCCATAGTGAACTGTGGTTAGTCCTCGCTCTTAGTGGATGTCTTTTCTCATGAGGCGTTACTTCTAATACCTCTAGGTTACATTCCATCTCAACGGAGTAACATCTGCAACTACAAACATGCAGACCACAATTGACATTGCATCCGTAAAAAATGCTCCACTTAATGTGTTTGGACTTGTTTTGAAACCCTTGTTGATAGATCCTACTCCAACACCAGCTCTTTCGACGATAGCTATTGGCACGCCTAGAAGATCATAGAAAATCAATAACCACGTATTGGCCATGTAACTGCTCCAAGTATGAGCGCATTCATCACCCAACCCTTTTGAGATGTGCAGGAAGGAATGCCCTCGAGACCCGCAATTAGATCTCTTCGAGCATCCTCCAATATCTGTTTGTTAGCAACTATAATTTTTGTCTCATTATCCATTGACACTTCAGCTCCCATGTCATGAGCTTCATTCATTTGCACTGCCTTTGAGGTACTTGGGATGGATTTTACCTTCTACCTCTTCATGTTCTTCATAAGAGACAAAGCAGAGTGTTTCATGGCAGCAATGTAGAAAAGCTAATTACAACAGGAGATTTTGGAGATCAACAGAATTTGTGCATTTTGAAATCCTATCCTGCCTCAACTTTATAATGCTTGGAAAAAAGTGTAACTTAAAAATTTCTCCAACCCATTGCCAATCTCAATCCTATACTTGGTGTGGCTTCAAGCTTTAAATATCGTAGGTGATTGCAATGCCCTCATATGTAGCACTTCTCAAATATCACTCTCAGAAGCTCACTCTTCTGGTTCCTCAGGAGCAACTTCAAGACTATTCTTCGGAACCTTCTATTTTAATTGACTTAATTCTTCTTTACTCAGACTCACCTTTGGCTCAGCTATCATTTCCTTCTACCATGGACAAGGAAACAATTGATAAGCATAGATCCCCCGCCGCAACCCTTGACATATCAGCATTAATGACAAGTCTCGATGTACTTTCAGTTGGTTTATTATGTTTTCGGCTGTCTCCCATACAACCTAACAAAATCAAAGCATCACTATACTATTAATGCTTGTCCATTTCAATGATGACCTTGGCTCACAGTCCCATTCCTTACAAACTTTGCAGCTCAGCTGCAATCCATGCTTTCCTCTAATGACTAAATGTGCAAAAAGATCAAGTGTGACCGTGTGTCGATGTTTGTGTCACTGAATCCTAACATTGTATGTTCGCCTTCCTGTGCCACTATCATTGTTGCTAGGCAAACATGCATCTATGATGTGAAACCACATGCAAGGAGCTCATTAAGACAATTAAGAAGAATTAAACAATTTAATTTCACTTGACAGCTTATTGTCGAGACAAGATAATTCAATAAAGATTCTTGGTTTTCAACTCGCTTAGGCGAAGGAGTACATGTAAATTAGCTAATCCTCGGAGATAATCAAAAATAGTAGCAAAGCTAAGAGCTATTAAACAACAATCCAAATCTAGTATCCATAATAATTCTTAAAAATTAGTTTGGGAAAGTTTGATTCGTGCTTCATTCCAGGGATTAGCTCTTCTACATTTTTCTCTTTTGATTTCTAAATATAACCCAAATTTAAAAATATTTCGCTATATTTTATATGGAAATACCGCTGCAACTTCTTTATTTTCCATCTCTTGTCCATCAACTTTGTATGACCACAATTTGAATGCCCTTTTCAGAACCTATGTCAGCAACATAGCGGGCCTAGGTTCATCTTATTGAACCACTCTAATCTTAGTGTGTTGGGGGGACTTTTCTACTTCATCTCTCCACGGTGTCTCTCGTGGCCTCCTCATCGAGTAAGCTTATGATGCAGTGTACTCTCCCTTCCATCAGTCCTTGTGAGTTTATGATGTCTCTAATCTCTCTTTGCCACCTAGGCTTGGCAAGTTATCTTGGTCAAAACCACCCCAACCCAAATCTTGCTTAAATTACCTACGCAACACTTAAATCTGTAATTTTATGTGTCTACCATGCGAGCATAAACTTTAAAACATTACTAATATGATACCTTCATTAGATATTATTATAGATGTTTAAAATATTTCATATTTTTCATAGGCATACGTTTTTTTTTTTAAAAAGGCTTTCTTCATCCTTAATTACCAGGTGGCAACTTTGAACTACTCTCTCCATTTTCCGCTTGAAGCTCCCATGATTCCCATACCTCTATCCGCATGATCCCTCTTTCTTCTCTATATATCTGCTTCCTAATGGTTATCCTGTCTTCGAAATAGTCTCAAAATGATTTCTTTTTTTTTTTTTTCATTAAAATGTCTGTTTTTTTTTCTATCGCATAATAGTTCTAACATAATGATGAAGTTTGCAAATTTTTGCATTATTATCTCTATTTTCATCACTTCCACTTAATTTTTTGCTAGTACCTGCACCTAATGCAAGAAACACTTGGGTTTTACTAGTAATATGGAGAGGCTCTTTTCTAGATTGCTCTCTTTAGTGTTTTTGATAGTTCAGATGTAATGGTAAAGTTCGTGAATTTGCAATATTTTTTCTTGAGTTGCCTCTTTTACCTCTTTGAGTTATTGCCAGTATATCTTGTTGCATTTGAACGCATAAATTTTGACTTGTAATATTGGAAGAAAATATTATAGATTTCTTCATCTTCATCAAACTGTATGGTTTGATCTGCCGTGTTCATATATGCATTAATTTAAATGTCATTAAGACCATCTTGACCAAGAAATTCAGTTCACACCGAGCCTGAACACGTACTTTGTTCAGGTAAGGATCAAAATTTTTTTGTTCTTGTTTTAATGCTGAAATAGAAACGTCTGTTGTAATGAAATAATTTGAGGAAAAGGCTATTAAGTACTACTATATTTGTATCATCGTTATAGATTCTTTTTTTGCTTTTGGTTTCTCAGATATGCTTCTTCCTCTAGCCTTTTTCATTCTGGAGTTTAGCATTAATTATGTTTTGCCTTATCACTAGTCTCATCATCATTATCCATATCACAAGTTTACATTATTTGTTAGGCTTTTTGGTAGTTGAATGAGTTTTATCAGGTATCCATTGTTACAGATGAAGTTTTTTTTTTTTTTCTTCTAATATTTTGGCTGGTGCGGCTCTTAGTGGTTTTATCTTTTATCTGATCTTCTTTCCAGGTGATTGAGGGATGATTCTTAATGGTTGCATGGCAACTTCTGGACGCATGTCACTGAAACCTAGGCCTTTGGAGGCAACGTCGCCCTCTTTTTCTGTATACCCCTCTCTTAATTCTACACTTACAACACATTCGAGATTTAAAAATTGGTGTGGCGAGTCTCAACATTCTCGAGGTTTTCATTTAAGCGGTATGCATTTATGTGTTTGAATTACTATCTTCTTTCCCAATAGTTTTGAGCGTGTTTGTTATGAGCCTGTTAATTTTCTCATGTTTTTAAAACTCCCAAGTTATTGATTCCATTCTTCAAATTTCTTCACACAAGTATTGAGAATCAAGTAAAAAAAAAAAGCATTGAGAATTTGAGATTTCTTTGTTCTTGTTATGTTTGAGACTTTCTTTATGGAGGTTCCTAATGAGTTGGTAACAACATAATCAAATGATCTTATCAAACTTAGAAATGTTCAGAGGTTAATCGATAGTGAAATGCTTTTGTCTAAACTTTTAACATTCAGGTTTCGTTTGGGACAGCTTTTTTACTGCTTCTTAAAGCAACTTTTTAATACAAATATTAAAATTTTGTACTAAAAAATTGCTTTAAGAAATAGTAAAAAAATCGTCCCAAACAAATCCTCAACGTAGGAAAGCCTTCCTTTCTTCTTCTTTGCATTGCTGTTTACTTCTATCCTATGTCTGAATATCTATATGTTAGGTCAATAAAGACGATGCTTATTGCTTCATGTAATATTCACTGATTTCCAATGGCAGGAGCACTTCTTAAAATCACCGTCTCAAATGCTTCAACATCTGTTTTAACTGGATGTCCTGGCAGCTTTACATTCCCAAGAACATTGCCCTCTGCTCCCCGAAAATGCCTCCGAGGAAACTTGATGGCCCCGAGAGCATCAAAGGATGTTCCTACGAGCTACCGCTACCCCCCGATGACTAAAAAGCCGAGATGGTGGTGGAGAACACTAGCATGCATACCCTATCTCATGCCTCTTCATGAGACATGGATGTACGCTGAAACTGCATACCATCTTCACCCTTTCCTGGAGGATTTTGAGTTACTGACCTACCCTTTCTTAAGGTTCATAGGGTCCCTCCCAGGCTGGTTCTTAATGGCCTATTTCTTTGTAGCTTATCTTGGGGTAGTAAGAAGGAAGGAGTGGCCTCACTTCTTCAGGTTCCATGTGGTCATGGGAATGCTTCTTGAGATCTCCCTTCAAGTTATCGGCACGATAAGCCGGTGGATGCCTCTCGCAATTTACTGGGGCAAGATTGGAATGCACTTCTGGACTGCCATTGCCTTCGCCTACCTCTTCACTGTGCTCGAGTGTATTCGTTGTGCGCTTGCAGGTATGTATGCTGATGTGCCTTTTGCCTCTGATGCAGCTTACATTCAGATCCCATATGATTAAGGTGCAAGATTTTGTTTAAACTCTTTGTGTTAACTTCCTTTCTTTGGAATTTTTTTCTCATCAGAACTTTGTTTCAGCATTTTGTGAGGGATATGTAAGATGAATATTATCAGAACTTTGTTTCAGAGTTTTTCTGCTCTATGTAAGATGAATTTGGTCGTAAGAATGTTCCACTATTGTGTTTAACTTATTAGTAAGAGGGATTTGCATAATTATGTTAGGATATTTGATATATTTTCTATTAGAATGGGATTAATTTTATTACATGTATTTTTAATTTCTCACACAACATGTTATCTCTTAATAATTATTAGGATCATGAGCAAAAGATATATAAGAATTTTAAATTTTTTAGGCATTTTATTGCAATTAAAATAATCACATGTAAATTTTTTGAGGAATTTTGATTGTCTTCACTAGGTTTTTTTTATGTATTTTGAAATTTATTTAAATCTAATGAATTTGAAATGCATGACCTTGCGAATTTTTGCGTGGCTATATTGTTGTGCTCTTTTGACCTTTTCTTTTTGTCAACTATGGCATTGTCGGCCGCATCTCCATTATTAACAAAATAAATAAATATAAATTTTCATTATATTTGAGTTATACAATCAAACAACTTAGTTTAAAATTGTATTATAATTTCTTTGGTTAAGCTAAATAGTCTTCTTATTGGAAGTTGTGCATTTTTTAAGTATGATAAGCAATAAATTATAAAATTTTTGGTCTATAGGTCTATTCATCTATAGAAGTAAATTATTTATTTATTTTGATTGAGTAAAAATCTATTATATGATTAAAAATTCAAATTATCTCAATTTTTACAAATGATCAAAATTGTTGCGTCCTCCTGGAATATTCTAGGTGGTAGAGAAATATAAAGTTTAATGTCTTAGTTTTGTACAAAGATTCAGAATGCAATTAGATAAAAGAGTGAGGGTGCATCATTTATAATAGACATTAAATTTTTTATGTGAAAAACTCTTGAAAAGTGAGAAAAATCACGAGGTCTGTCCTAGTTTGATGAAACCAGTAGTATTTGCAGTTGATTACAAATGAGGCCCTTTTTTGAGGGGAAGGCCTTGGCTTGATGTAACAAATATACATCATATGTAGTGCATTACATGGTGGGAATAGGAAGAATCACTGTTAACATATTTGTTTGGTTGGAAGGATCATAGTCGATGAGCGACTGAGGACGGAAAGATCATTATTTGGAGACGGAGGTCAGAAGGTTCGTAGTCGGCGGGTGAAGGAGGTCGAGAGAATCGTAGTCGACGGGCGACAAAGGTTCGAAAATTATTGTTGGACAACAAAGGTCAGAAGGATCATAGTCGGCGAGCGACGGAGGTTAGAAGGACTGTAGTCTGCGGGTGTCGGAGGTCATAAAAACCATTGTCTTGCGACGGATGTCAGAAAGACCATTGTCTAGTGATGGAGGTCAGAAAGATCGTAGTTAGTGGACGACGAATGTCAGAAGGATGGCGTTAGATAGAAGTCTGGTGATGGATAGAAGTTTGGCGTCGAATAGAAATCCGACGACTGGTGGAAGTTCAACAAAGGGTGGAAGTCCGACGACGTGTAGAAGTCCGATGATTGACAGAAAATTGGCGACGGGTAAAATTTTTGCGTCGGGTAGAAGTTCGACGAAAGTCCGGTGATAGGTAAAAGTCTTGTGACGAGCGAAAGTTCGACAATGGGTAGAAGTCTGACAAAATTCTGACAACTGGTAGAAATTCGGTGATGGGTGGATATCCAGTGTCAGGTAGAAATTCAGTGACAGTTGGAAGTCCGGCATCTGGTAGAATTCTGCCGACAGGTGGAAGTCCTACGTCGAGTAGAAATTCGAAGACGGGCGGAAGTTCGGCGTTGGGTAGAAATCCAGCAACGGGCCAAAGTATGGCGCCAGTTGGTGGCTGGGAAAATCCAGTGTCAGTTGGTGGTTGGGAAGAAAATCGGTGTCCGTCGGTAGCTGGGCGAAAGTCCGGCATCGGGTAGAATCCGACGACAGGCACAAGCCCCACGTTGGTGAGTGGCTGAGGAGGAGTTTGATGGTAATAGCTCTTGCTTATCTTCTTGTTTGGGCTCCCTTTCTCATCCCCCTTAGGCCCCCTTCCATGAGGAATGAGGGGTATATTTATAGTTTTTTGTGAGTGGTATGACGAGTAAATATGAGGAAGATAAAGGGTAAATGTGGAGTGATTTGAATAAACGGTTGATGTTGAATCCCTTGATAATGGTGCGTTTATTAAACATTTGAATGTTTTAATGATATTAGAATTTGACAATCTTAGGCTTGTTGGATTCCTCACGTCGAGCCGATTGATTCGACTATAAGAATGTCACGTTTGAAAACCGTTTGATAATTTAAATTATCGTTTAAACCTTCTAATTGTGCTACGGGTCTTTGATTTCGACTCATTTGGGCTTGGATTGAGTCGAATTTGGTGTCATTGGGTTCATATTTCTTAGACGTTCAGTTCAACTATAAGTTTGCTGAAATTAGAGTTCATATGTTGTTTGATTTAATTTTTGAAGTTTCCAACTTTATATTGCCTCGAGATTTGTGCCCCATTAAGTTAATTTTTTAATGATATATCAGTTGCCCCCTTTTTTCGAACGTCGAAGCCTGCATAGTCCGAAAATATATATCACATCATTTTAAATTGCATGAATCACAAAAAATGCTCAAAAATTGTGTTCCAAAAAATATAAATTTGCTCAAACTTGATAGCTTTATTGAGTTTCGAAAGTGGAAAAATTGAATCTGAAACATCAAAAAGTAATTCTGGTGACCCAAAAAATGTTCGATCTGGATTATCTGGGCCAAATCACCTGCTGCAGTAACTATGCTACAGTAACAGTCTGCTACAACGACGACTTGATACAGTGCGTCAGCGATTTGCTACAGTCCGTCGTCTACAATGTTGTTGTTATAGTGCTACTGCTACAGTAAATTTTGCAAAGTAAATCCCACTATATAAATATCAATTTTATTTCGCATTTGCATGAATGGATGCTACAATGCGGATAGTTATAGTGCCGCTAAAAACAAATTCTTTGGGCCCCACATGCTTCTTTATTTTTTAATAAAGGAATTCCAAAAAATTACATAAGGGGTTCCAAAACATTTTTAGAAAATTCTAGAATAAGTTCGAAAAAATTTAAACATATTTGGAGGTAAATTTCCCCCCTAATTTCAAATCATTTTCCCCCCATTTTCGTCCTATAAATACCTCCCCTTGGGGCAAGGAAAAAATTACTTCTTTGATTCTTCTCCTTTCTCCCTCTAACTTTCTTATAATTGAGGCCTTCCACATTTTTTTTGTATGGGGCCCCGCATGCTTCTTTCTTGTGTAGATTTTTTCCTCTCCCTTTCTCCCACACTTTCCTTCTTACTTTAGAAGCTTTCCATTATTTTTAGTCAGTGTCATCCCTTACCTACATTCCGTGCCCCTCTTTAGTTTAGAAGGAAAATTTTCCTTCTTTATTCTCTTTTCCTCTGTCTTTTTTTTTACAATAGAGGAATTCCACTATCTGAGATAAGCAGCCTCACCTATCAAGCCCAGTACCCCTCTTTTGTGTAGTAGAAGCTTTTGGCCTCCTTCCTTTTTTCTCTTATGTGTTATTCTTCTTATATTAGAGACATTCTACTATTTGAAATATGTGACATCACCTATTAATCTTTAGTGCCTCTCTTTTATGTAGAATTATATTTTTTATCCTACCTTTTTCTTCTCATGTGTTATTCTTCTTACAGTAGAGACATTCCGCTATTTGGGATAGGTGACATCCCCTATCAAGCTTTATGCCCATCTTTTGTGTAGAAGAAGCCACGATGAGTTTATTCTTTCAATAGATAATCGTTGATAAAAGAAGATCAACTGCCTATTGCATGCAATAGTGATTTGAGAAGATCTGACAATAGTAGTATCCGGGAGGAGAATCATTGATTGTTGGTGTACGAGAAGAATTTTGATGTTGTTTGAGCAAAATTCTGACTGTGATTGACGATCGTGCTAAAATCTGATGCCGATCGATGGTTGGGTGGAGAGTTGAAGGAGATAATTGGAGACTCTAATAATAGCAGTTAAACGAGAAGTCGATGATGGCTGATATGAAGTAAGTAACCATCGATAGACAATAGACGAAGTGCCGATGATTGCGGTGGTCTAGTTGCATTCTTCTAAGGTAATATGCATCCATATTGACGTCTGCAGACATCAAATATCCCTGATTGAAGGGGTCGAAGTAGTGTGCTATGTTAGTGGTCTAGGGACACACTAATAGTATCAATATTGAGTAGAGGCATGATGATGATCAGGTTATAATCTTTCTTTGAAGAAAAAAATATAAGAGATGCTTCAATGTGTAATAGAGAAGAGGTCAATAGATCCACCAAGGATATTTAACCTTTTTGAAGTTATTTTTTGCTTAATGACGTTAACTTGTACAGATGATGCTGATATATTTCTTCTAGTGTGAATAAATGTATACTTGGATTTGATGTTGAATCTATGTAACATCAATGATGTTTAATATGATGTATAAATTATTATATGAGCTCGATGCTTGTTTTTTATTTGAAATGAACTTGTCCCCAAGAGGAAGCTAAATTATTTATACATCTTTGAGACATACTTTGATATATTGCCCCCCATATTTTTTTAGACTGTTAAGATCTTTATATGAGTGATGACTTTATCAATCACTTACGGATGCATGAGTTATATGAGGTTGTATATCAAAGCATTGCTTGATGACGTTAACCTATATAACAGAGGTCGAGAGAATCTATCAAGGATGTATTACCTTTCTAAGATTATATATCAAAGTACTACTCGATGATGTTAATCTATATGAAAGAGGTTGAGAAAATCCACTAAGGATGTATGATTTATCCTAGGTTTTATGTCAGAGCGTAGCGTTGCTCGATAATGTTAATCTATATGAAAGAGGTTGAGAGAATATACCAAAAATATATGACATATATGAAATTTTATGTCAGAGCGTTGCTCGATGAAATTAACTTTTATGAAATGAGTCGAGAGAATCCATCAAAGATGTAGGACCTATCCGAGATTGTATGTCAGATTACTGCTCGATGACGTTAACCTATATATAAGAGGTCGAGAAAATCTACCAAGGATGTATGACCTATATGAGGTTTTATGTCATAGTGTCGCTCAATAAAGTTAACCTATATGGAAGAGTTCTAAAGAATCCACAAGGATGTATGACCTATTCGAGGTTGTATGTCATTGCGCTACTCGATAACATTAATATTTATGGAGGAGGTCAAAAGGAACACCCCTAGGATCAATTTTGCCTTAATTGGGAGGGGGCGAATGTTGCGTTTATCCTGAATCAAAGGTGAAGAATGATCTATCTTTATATCATCAATTTCTTTTCTAAGTCAAGATTAAGACCTTACGTAAGGAGTAGAAGTCAAACTATGAACTGTATAAAGCTTGAAATTTATTGGAAGCATTATTGCGTTTGTTAGAAATTTTATTATCCAATATATCATCTTAGACATTAGAAGAGTTAGAGGAATCTTTTTAACCACGGCTGTAGTCAAGGTTGCCCCCCAGACCACATTTAATTATCATGAAATTGATGCAGTAATTGCTGATGCCAGAACATTGACACGAACAACTTTTTGAGGCTAGAGTAAAAAATTAGCCCCCTAGTTGAGAACCTCGTTCCCATAAACGGCGCTAAATAATTATGTCCAGGAATATTCGCGGTTATAGAGAAATATAAAGTTTAACGTCTTTGCTTTGTACGAAATCTAGCATGAAAAGAGATAAGCGAGTGAGGGTGCAACATTTATAAGAAATACCAAATTTTTAATGTGAAAACCCTCGAAAAGGGTCAGTGGGCAACAGAGGTCGGAAAAATCATGCCAATGGGCAACGGAGATCGAAAGGATCATTATCTGGCGACAGAGGTTAGAAGGACTGCTCTAGGTAGAAGTCCGACGATGGATAGAAGTTTGGCGTTGGAAAGAAATCTGGCGAAGGGTATAAATCTGATGATGGACAAAAAAACTTGCATTGGGTGAAAGTTCTTCGTCAGGTAGAAATTCGAAAAAAGTTCGGTGACAATAGAAGTTCGGCGACGAGCAGAAGTTCGGCATTTGATAGAAGTCTGACAAAAATCTCATGTTGGGCAGAAGTTTGGCGAAGGACGGATTTCCGGCGTCGGGTAGAAATCCGGCGACGGCTGAAAGTCTGGTGTCGGGTAGAATTCCGGTGATGGACAGAAGTCTCACGACGGGCGGAAGTCCGACTTCAAGTAAAAATCCGGCCACGGGTGGAAATTTAGCGTCGAGTAGAAATCTAATGATGAGCCAAAGTCTGGCGTTAGTTAGCAGCCGGGCAGAAATTCGACATCTGTCGATAACTAGGCGAAAGTCTGACATCCCATAGAAATTTGGCGACGGGCGAAAGTCCAACATCGGTAAGTGGTCGGGAGGTGGTCGAGGAGGAGTTTAGTGGCAAGAAAACTTTTACTTATCTTCTTGCTTGGGCTCCCTTTCTTCTCCCCTTTGGCCCCCTACCATAAGGAATAAGGGGTCTATTTATAGTTTTCTGACAGTGGCATGACCAGTAAATAATAGGAAGATAAAGGTTAAATTGGGAGTGGTTTAAATGGACGACCGATGTTAAATCCCTTAATCATGGTGTGTTTATTGGAGATTTGAATGTCTTAATGATATCATAATTTAGTGATATTTCGCTTGTTAGATTCGTCTCGTCGAGCCGCTCAATTTGACTATAAGCATGTCACATTTGGAAAATGTTTGATAATCCAAATTATGGTTTAAACCTTCCAAATGCGCTTCGGTTCTTTGATTTGGACTCATTTAGGCTCACATTGAGTTGAATTTGGTGTCGTTGTGTTCGTATTTCTGAGACGTTCAATTTGACTGTAAGTTTACTGAAATCGGAGTTCAGATGTTCTTCGATTTAATTTTTGGATGTTTCAACATTATTTTGCCTCGAGATTAGTGCCCAATCAAGGTAATTTTTTTTATAATATATCAAAAATGATTTTTGATGGTTTGAAAAACTCATTTTAGCCTTTTGATTATTTATATGAGAATTTAGAGCATTTGACGGAATGATTAGTTTTGATTCTTATTTAAATAATGAAGAGATTGAATTATTATTTTAAGTAGTCGGATACTTATTTGATGATTAAAAAATTAGTTAATCACTACTATCCTTTTCTCTATTTTATATTTCTAATTTCTCAAAAAAAAAAATCATCGTTAGTAATAAGATTTATATCATAATTTTTATAAATGGCCAAATGCATGACGAACAAATTTCCCCCATCGCAGCGGCCGCCGGCGCCGGCGATCCCACTCCGTCTCTGCGCCGCTGCATCGCCCTTCTCCGATCACACAGTTCCCTCCCCCACCTCCGCCAAACACACGCTCATGCCCTCCGGACCGGCATCCCTCTCTTCCATCCTCTCCTAGCCAAACACCTCATCTTCTCCCTTATCTCCCTCCCTTCCCCTCCCCTCTCCTACGCCGAGCTCCTCTTCTCACTCCTTCCCAACCCTAATATCTTCACCCTCAACACCATGATCCGTGGCTACGCCGAAAGCCCTCACCCCTTACCCGCCCTCCTCCTCCACCGCCGTATGAACGCTGCTTCCCTTCCTCCTGACTCCCATACCTACCCTTTCCTCCTAAAGGCATGCGCTCGCCTCCTCGACCTTCGGCATGGTGAGTCTGTTCACTCGCTTTCTGTTAAAAACGCCCATACTTCCTCTGTTTTCGTGCAGAACTCGCTCCTGCATTTCTATGGAGCTTGCGGGCTTTTCGAATCTGCCCACCAGGTGTTCGAGGAAATGCCCGTTAGAAATCTTGTTACTTGGAACTCTGTTATCAATGGCTTCGCGTTGAACGGCAGGCCAAACGAGGCGCTCACGCTCTTCCAACAGGTAGGTAGAAACAATTTAATAAGCTCATTTCACTGAGCTTTATATCCATTATCTTTATGATAATTCATATGTTAACATATTAAATTATTTTTTTGAAGGTGCTTAGCAATGACAGTATATGGTAGGAACAGTGTACCATTACTCAGATTTATTCACATATATTTTTAAAAAATATCATGTATATTATTGATAGAAATCATCAAATTATCACAATTTTAAATTATATTATAAAATTATAAATCCTTTTTCATGAAATTAGAGTCATCAATCCAAAATTTTCTATGTAATTAATCATTATGAACTTGGCTGTTGGCTAATAACAAATAACACAAATAATTTGTTTTAGCTCATAGTTAATAAACCAAGCTAACTAAGGCCCAGATCATTCATATATATTCATTCATCTCATTAATGGCTATCAGGTATTGGATGAAGAAAATGTAGTGAAGCCAGATGGATTCACCATGGTTAGCCTTCTCACCGCCTGTGCTGAGCTCGGCGCTCTCGCACTAGGCCGGCGGGTTCACTTATACATCATTAAGTCTGGTCTGTATCAGAATTCACATATAGGGAATGCTCTTATCGACCTATACTCCAAATCCGGTGTGGCTGTGGATGCTTGCAAGGTTTTTGATGAGATGCCTGATAGAACAGTTGTCTCATGGACCTCCCTGATTGTTGGCCTAGCGGTAAACGGTTTCGGCAAAGAAGCTCTCAAATTCTTTGATGAAATGGAGATTGGCAAGTTGAAGCCAACCGAGATCACTCTGGTCGGAGTTCTCTATGCTTGCAGCCATTGTGGCCTGGTTGACCAAGGTTTCAGATACTTCAACCAGATGAAAGATGATTATGGGATAGTCCCCAGAATTGAGCACTATGGATGCATGGTGGATCTCCTCGGACGTGCCGGGCTAGTCAATAAAGCTCATGACTTCATTCTCAACATGCCATTGGAGCCCAATGCGGTTATATGGAGGACTCTGCTTGGTGCTTGTGCAATGCACAAGCGAGTCGGACTTGGCGAGGTTGCTTGGTCTCGGCTCATCAAACTTGATCCAGGGCACAGCGGCGACTATGTTCTGCTATCGAATCTGTATGCCGGTGGAAGCCGATGGACTGAAGTGCAGAAGCTGAGGAGGAGCATGATCAAAGGAGGGGTGAAGAAGACTCCTGGGCACAGCCTTTTGGAGCTGGGAAACAAGGTTTATGATTTTGTGATGGGAGACCAATCGAATCCTGAGACCGATTTGATATATGAGAAGCTCGAAGAGATTGCGAAGCGATTGAGAAAAGAAGGATATGTTGCTCGGACGACGAATGTGCTGGCTGATATACAGGAGGAGGAGAAGGAGACGGCTCTGTGTTATCATAGTGAGAGATTGGCAATTGCGTTTGGATTGATGAAATCTGCTCCAGGTGCTGCTATAAGGATAGTGAAGAATTTGAGAGTTTGTGAGGATTGTCACTTGGCTATTAAGCTTATTTCAAAAGTTTATGAGCGGGAGATTGTTGTGAGGGATAGAAGCAGATTTCATCATTTTAGAGACGGAATTTGCACTTGTAAAGATTACTGGTAGCAAAGAGCAATTGCTTTGCTTGAGTTTGTCATTACTGATTTGTTTCGGGTGACTACATCTTGGGGTTAAGCAACTCAAAGCTAGCTCGTGAGCCAGCTCGAGATTGATTTGATAACGAGCTCACAAGTTAAGCTTATCAAATAACGAACTCCAAGTTCAAATTTTATTAGGCTCAGCTTATGATCTTGTGAGGAATGTTGTAGCAGCCAAAGCTTTTTTCGCATGAGAAAATCAACATGGGACTTTTTTCTTTCCTTACAAAAGATGCTGGTATTTGAGAAAAGCTCATATTCTTAAAAAAAAAAAAAAAAAGGCTACCATTTTTATTCATAAGGCTAGAGCCTTTCTCATTAAAAAAAAAAAAAAAAAAACTTAGGCAATATCATGTCTAAGCCTTCTTTGATGTTTTTCCAGCAATATTACGAGCTGGCTTGCAAGCCCACTTTTATTATCACGCGTTGTGCTTGAGTTTGGCTTGAGTTCGAGCTTCTGATTTGGCTGTCAAGCTGAGCTCATGTTCGGCATGGCTCAAGCTCGTCTAGACTCACTTACACTCCTCGGTACATCTATTTATAAAAAATAGTTGTATTGCTGTTATAGGAAAAAGTAAATTTTATATGTTTTTAGTGGCCAGTTTGCTATTTTTTTTTTCCTTTATAAATGAATGTAGTTGAAAATTGAGTAATAAAATAATATTCAAATAAAAATATGATAGGTAACGATTTGTAAAATAAAGCTTTCTCAAACACATCCTATATAAAGAAGCAAAAATAGTGAACCAGACAGTCATAATAAATTTCAGCTGCTCTAAAGTTTTAGTGCATAACTTGTTTCAATGATCTCTTTAACTGGCAGTAAACTTTCCTGAAGGACTGTACATTAAGGGGCTGTTTGGTTTCTTGGCATCCTAATTTAATTATGCTTAAATCTACCTAAATAAAAATTTGGGAATTTTGTATCTCACTATACTGATAAATTGTATTTATTAAATTCAATATTTATAAATTTCTATCATTCATACGTGATTTAATGAATTTAAGAATTTTTGTTCTACTAAATTTTAATTCCTAAAATAAATATTCAAACAATTTATAAGATTTAATTGTTAAGTGTGAAGTATAGTTTTATTAGCTATCTTGAATAATATTTGATTTTGATTTTCCAATCTTGGTGAGTTCAAATATAAGATTCATTTACCCTTGATTTTTAAAGATGACTTCATAACTCTATTTTTTTCAATATAATCGATAAATACCTTAATTAATTCACACTTGATTTTTCAAAATGGTGGCTACATAACTCAAGTTTTATTCATACTTAGGTTTCGTTTAGAATAGCTTTTTTACTGCTTTTCAAAGCAGCTTTCAAGTATAAAAATTTTAGGTTTGAAGGAATTTTTTTATTAAAAAACTACTTTAAAAATAGAAAAAAAGTTGTCGGAAATAAACTTTGATCCTTTATTATTCACAATTAAAATAGTGATTTGTTATTTAGCTTGGATTTTGTGACACTTGCAACTTAACTATGGACAAAATGCTTATTAGTGGCATATAAAAAAGGTAATACTAATCAAATTGATTTTTTTTTCTAATTAACACCAATTATATAATGTTTTCGACAATTCAATTGCTCTTCCAATTACAAAAAATATTTATTTAAAAAATATTAATTTGTTATTGTTGCGTCCTGGAGTATTCGCGGCAGTAGAGAAATATAAAGTTTAGCGTCTTAGCATTGTACGAAGATCTAGCACACAAGTAGATAAGAGAGAGGGTGTAACTTTCATAAGAGACACTAGAGTTTTTACATGAAACCCCTAAAAAGGGGAAAAAACCACGGGGCATGATGTGATATTTGTTGTCGATGACACTTGTCGTTGATCACCCTCAATAATTCCAACAGCAACACAGCATGTGATGTTGGCATTAGCTAGATGAGTCGTAACCAAACGGCCATACAGAACTCTAACAATTTGCCTTTGTGCTATATATTAAATTAATATTAAGGGCCAACCAGAATATATATAGTCTCCGAAAGAAAAGCAATTTATCAGATCAATATCTTTTGGAAATACGGCAGAAGTTGCCTTGGAATAAAAGCAGTTACATAATAATAATAATAATAACTGTTGTGTCCAGGAGTATTCGCGACGGCAGAGAAATATAAAGTTTAAAGTCTTAGCGTTGCACGAAAATTCGGAACACAATCAGATAAGAGAGAGGGTGTGTAGTATTTATGAGACACCAAGTTTTTTACGTGGATAACCCCTAAAAAAGGGAGAAAAACCACGGGGCCTGGCCCAGTATAAATGAATCCACTAGTATTGTAGTTGATTACAAATGAGGTCCTTCATTGGGGAAGGCCTTAGCTTGATGTACATCTTATATAAACATTACATGATGAGAATACAAAGAATAACTGTTGATGTGTTGTTTGATATGAAAGATTGTAGTCGGTGTGCGACGTAAGTCAGAAGGACTGTTGTCGGCGGGCGACGAAGGTTGGAAGGGTTGTAGTCGGCGGGCGACGTAAGTCAGAAGGACTGTAGTCGGCGGGCGACGGAGGTCGGAAGGACTGTAGTCGGTGGGCAACGTAAGTGAGAAGAACTGTAGTCGGCGAATGATGGAGGTCGGAAGGACTATATCTAGTAGAAAGTCCAGCGTTGGGAAGAAATTCAGCGACGAGTGGAGATCTGACGTCGGGTAGAAGTCCAACGTCAGTTGGTAGCCGAGAATAACTCTGGCGTTAGATGGTATTCGGGGAGTACTCCGGTGTTACTTGGAGTTCAGATGAAACTTCGGCGTTACTTGGAGTTCGGGCGAAATTCCGATCTCACTTGGAGGTCAGGCGGAATTCTGGCAGTGGTGGAGGAGGAGTTTCTTCCCTCCTATCCTTCTTCTCTTCTCTTCTCCTCTTGCTTCTTGCTTCGCCCCCCTCACAAGAGAAATGAGGGGTCTATTTATAGATTTCTGGAGTGTCATGGCCTGTAAATATGTGAGAGATCTGGGGTAAATAGGGAGTGGTCAGATGGACGGTCGATATTGAATCCCTTGATCGTGTACCATTTATTAGATATTTGAAGGTCTTAATGATGTCATAATTTGGCGATCTTGGGCTCGTTGGATTCGTCTTGTCGAGCTGCTCGATTCGACTATAAGAACGTCATATTTGGAAACCATTTGGTAACTCGAATTATGGTTTGAACCTTCCAACAGTGCTTCGGGTCCTTGATTCGGACCCATTTCGGCTCGGATTGAGTTGAATTTGGTGTTGTTGGGTTTGTATTTCCGAGACGATAAGTTCGAGGGTAATTTTGCTGAAATCGGAGTTCAGATGATCCCAGATTTAATTTTTGAAGTTTCCAACTTGATTTATGCACCGAGATTCGTGCCTGATCAAGATAATTTTATGATGCCGTATCAGTTGCCCCCCTATTTTCAGACGTCGAAGTTCCAGAAATCCAAAAATATGTGTCGACATTTTGCCTTGGCCGAATCACAAAAAATTAAGTTCCAAAAATTAAACACTTGCTCAAACTTGATCATAGAGGCTCCGTTGAGCTTCGAAAGTATCAAAATTGAGTTCGAAACGTCAAAAAACGTGTCCAGAGACCCCAAAACATCGGATTTGAACCGTCCGGGCTGAAAATCGGAGCCTGGACGCGTTTAGATGACCGAATTGGCCCGCCCCTCCTGGCCGTGCGGTTTGGCCAGCGGTTTCGTTTACTTTTTTTAATAATTTGGTGGGGCCCACATGGATTTTTAATTCCAAAAAATTTTGAAAAAATCCTAAAAAATTCCAAAAAATTACGAAAAAATCAAGAAAATTTAATAAAATTTCAGAATGTTATTTTCTTCTCCAAAAACACTATAAATATCCCCCAAGGCCAAGGGAGAAATTCCACCTTCTTCTTTTCTTCTTCTTTCTTTCTGACAGTTGAGGCTTTCCACCGTTCTTCAGTAGGTGACTTTTCCTACTTGATTCGGCGCTCCTCCTCTTATACATAAGTTGGATTTTTTCCTTCTTTTCCCTCATTTTTCTTCATGCTTTAGAGGCTTTCCGCTATTTTTCGTAGGTGACTTTCCCTACTTAATTCAGCACCTCTCTTTAGTATAGAAGGAAAATTTTTCTCCTTCCACTGTCTTCTCCTCTTGCTATCTTCTTACAGTTGAGGCATTCCATTGTTTTTCGTAGATGACTTTCCCTACTTTAATCGGCGCCCCTCCTCTTGTACAAAAGTTAGACTTTTTTCAGTCGTTTCTTTTCTTTTTCTCCTGGCATTCTTACTTTCTTACAGTTGAGACACTCCCTTGTTTTTAGTAGGTGACTTTCCCTACGCAAAATTAGGGCCCCTCTCTGTGTGTAGAAGTCAGAATTGTTGCTCCTTATTCTTTTATTACGTTCTTCTTCTTACATTGGAGGAATTCCACTTTCGTAGATAGGCGGCATTCCCCTATCAAGCTTCAGTGCCCCTCTCTTGCGAACTTCTTCTTACATTTAAGGCATTCTACTGTTAGTGATAGGCGACATTCTCCTATCGAGCTTCAGTTCCCCTCTCTTGTATAGAAGGAGATTTTTTCCTTCTTATTCTTCTCTTGCGAACTTCTTCTTAAATTGGAGGCATTCTACTGTCGGTGATAAGCGACATTCTCCTATCGAGCTTCAGTGCCCCTCTCTTGTGTAGAAGGAGATTTTTTCCTTCTTATTCTTCTCTTGCAAACTTCTTCTTACATTGGAGGCATTCTACTGTCGGTGATAGGCGACATTCTCCTATCGAGCTTCAGTGCCCCTCTTTTATACGTAAGGAGTCGCGAGGAGAAGCTATCTTCTTAAAAGATGATTCTTGACAGAAGAAGATCAATTGATGCTTGTATGCGAGGGTGATTTGAGAAGATCTGGTGGTAATAGTACTCGGAAGGAGTGCCAATAGATGGGGAGAATTTTGTTGTTGTTCGAGTGGAAGTATGTCAGTGATGTACGATCAAGTTGAAGCTCATTCGCAGTCAACGACCGAGTGTAGAGCTGAAGGAGATAGTTCAAGGGTGAGCTGCAAATAGCAGTCGAGCGACAAGCAGATGATGGCTGATATGAAGTAAAAGACCGCTAACAAAAATCCAAAGAAGGCCCGATGATGGCGGGTGTCCAGTGGCATTTTGCAGAAATAATATGACTCCATACGGAAGTGTATCGATATTAGATATCCCTGAGTTAAAGGGCTGGAGCAGTGTGCTATACCGATGTTCTGACGATAGACGTATAATAT